CATAGTGTTAAATCCTCATGGTCCATCTCCCCAGGTCTCCCATGCTCCTTCAAGAGTTATGTTGCCCATTTTAGTGTTTGACACCCTGTAAAATACCAATACTAATACTAATAATATACCTTACTTGTTAAAAGGGGGTATACAGTGTTTAAAACAAGAAAAACTGTAAAGAATTAAAGATTAAAATCACATAATTTAAAAGACTAAAGGGAGAATATAAGTGGTTTTCAGTATACTTCTCATATCTTCTGTTTGTTCAAAATGCACCAAGGAATCATCTCATTTAAAAAATCCCCAAATTACTTAAATTAGCTGTAATGTGACATTTAATTACTAGAAGATTGCAGTCAAGCAGGCATTTCTAAGTCAGGTCTAATTTGTCCTGTACCCATTTTGCATTGTTTGAACATTAAGCTAGTTTATATTTATCATTATTATTAATTGCGTATATGATGAACTTTCAAAGTGAAAGCTAGTTGCTTATATGTCAGTGGCTGAGGATTCAGTTTTTGAATGATTATAAGGTAGACATGGTCATTATATTCTAGTCAAATTGTTCAATTACAGTACATAGGAATCACTTTAAAGAATAGTTGCCATTCCTCCCATAAACATTAGCTGGAACAGCAGATGGAAAGGGGTTTTGTCCCTGCAGAAGGTTTATGAAGTGGTTATGATTACAGGCTGCACATACAGTGTTCCATACTTTTGCCCTTTATGAACCCATAGCCTTTGCTGGTATCTGGAGGTGGTATCAAAAATGGGTGTGGGTAACTTTGAGGCAGACCATCCCCAGTCTTGCTTGCTATACCTTTGGTGCACTGGGCCTCACCTAAAACCTGTACAGGTTTTCTCTTATCCACCTTTGATCACTTCAGTACCTATCTCTGTTTATATATGTACAATTCTGACCCATGTAACTGCTCCCTGCAAGGACACTTTCCTTGTGCCCAAGGTTGGAAATTATGATTTAAGGCATCACGTGGTGGGCTATTCCTGTGCTTCAATAATTGCTTTCTCTTTCAACCAGAGCTACTTTGCAGAAGGGGGAAAAACCCACTCTTTAGAAGCTGTAGGCCTGGAATGATGAGGTGTCTGGTTCTTAGTATAACTGTTGTATGAGAGCCAGCAGCCAGCAGCCTTTGTTCGATACATTTGGCTCTTGCCTCTTGGAAGAGCAGCAGAGGCAGAAACTGGGAGACTGTGCTGAGGGTGGCCAGGAGACTGGCGAAGGCAAGGGAGGAGCTGGGCAGAGGAGTGAGGAGCAGGAGCGGCAGAGAGGAAGGGAGGTGGGGCCAGAGAGGCCAAGAGGAAGCAGAGGGGCAGGGCCAGTGGCCTGTGAGGCTTATAAGGCATCACCCCTTAGCTGTCTGCATCCCTTAGCTGTGACCCAGGCTGCCCAGGGACTCCCTGCCCTGGGGGCAGGTTTTTATTTTTATTTTTTTATTATTTTTTAATTACATTTTTATTTTATCCTTGTGTGGTAGGGGTGGGGGGGCTTGCCTGGAAGAACTGTACTGCAGGAGAGAAAAGGTAGAGGAAAAAGGTAGGGTCTCTGAGGCTTTCCCAATGTCAGGCCAGGAGATGGCCTTGGCGGGACTCACAGGCGTTGCTGTCCACTGCGACAGCTACGACATGTTCGCCCTCCTCCCTCAGGAGAAGCAGGAATACAATGACCCTCGGTGCAATCCGGTGACCTTCCTAGAAGAGGAGGTGAGGTGGCCCCCTGGAAGCAGTCCCCCTCCAGACAGAGGGTTGAGGGAGGGGCCATGGGAAGAACAGCTGGGGAGACATGGAGGCATGTCACCCACAGGAGGAGGAGGCCAGCACGGCCTCCTCCTTCTCCTGGCCCCAACCTGGAGCTGGGAAACAGGTTCTCTACACTTGGGGAGGCTGGGGCTGATGAGGTCTTGGGGGGTCAGCAGGATCCCCACCCTGGGACCACATGCGGCCAGGAGGCCACTGCAGGAGAGGCAAGAGCCAGGGCACAGCCGCCTACCACCACAGGACTAGACCGTGGCAGGTGATCGTAGTTGGGAACTCCCTGCTGCCCTGAACATGAGACAGGGGAGGTCTGTTGCCTGCCAGACACACGCATCTGGCATGTGAAGGATAGAGTGGAGCGTCTTGTTCACTCTGCGGGTCACCAGCTGCTTCTGATGATCTATGTGGGGACAAATGACATAGCCAGGCAGGGTGTGGATGGGATCACCAGGGTCTTCGAGGCCTTGGGGAAGAAACTCAGGGACCTTAAGGCCCAAGTGGCCTTCTCATCTATCTTACCGGTCTGGGGATTTGGGGCAGGCAGGGATTGGAGGGTTGGCAAGATGAACGACTGGCTTAGGGTGTGGTGCCAGAAGGAACACTTCGGGTTCCTCAACCACGGGACCTGGTTTCTTGCCAACTGACTTCTGGCAAGGGACGGGTTGCACCTCACAAGAATGGGAAAAAGGTCCTTCGGAAATGCTCTAGCAAGCTTTGTCTGGAAGTTTAAACTGAGCTGGGGGAGGGGGGCGTTCAGGTCCCCCAGAAACTTGTCCTCACTGGACAAGTGTGGGGAGAGGATCAGGGCTCTGGGAACAGGGTGTTAAAGATACTGCAGGGACTGACAGGACTCCTATGAAAAGGGGGCTAGTATCAGGGAAGATGAGAGGAAGGAGGAGGCTGGGGATTCCAAAGAAAGGAAGCGTTGGGAAGGAGTTGAGGTGTATGTACACCAACACTAGGAGCATGAGCTTGAAGCTCTCCTGGGAATTGGATGGTACGACCAGTGGGGATCACAGGAACTTGGTGGGATGAAAGGCAAGACTAGAATATAAACATAGAGGGGTATCACCTGTTTAGAAAGGAAAGGAAGGGAAGGGGGGTGTGTAGCTTGATGTGTCAGGGAAGGGATAGGATGCAGTGAGATAGAATGCAGCATAGATGGGCATTCAGTAGAGGCAGTCTGGGTGAAACTTAGGGGTTTTGACAGGGATAGGGACCTGACAGTGGGGGTATGTTATCACCGTCCAGGTCAACTTGAGACCCTGGATGATGTCCTGACAGGCCAGATTCTAAGGATATCTCGGGGGAGGGACACAGTAATTATGGGGGATTTCAATCTCCTGGATATTAGTTGGGAGACTCACTCGGCGGTGACAGCCAGGTCACATTGCTTCCTAGAAGCTATAGAGGGAAGGTTTTTCACACAGAGAGTCTGAGAGGTGATGAGGCAATCCTTGACTTGGTCTTGACCAACAGGAAGGAGCTGATAGATGAAATATAGATTAGGGGAGCTCTGGATGTGAATGATCACTCCATCCTTTGCTTTGAGATCAGGGGACTGAGGACGTGCAGCAGGTCGAGCACTAGAAGCTGGGACTTCAAGAGGGCCAACTTTGGCCAACTGAAGGCCAGACTGGGGAAAGTCTCCTTGGATAGGTTACTGGAAGGTAAGAGAGTTGATGAGGGGTAGATGGCACTCAAAAGGGAGGTTTTGGAGGTGCAAGCCTGGATGATACTTCTAGTTAGTAAAGCGGGGAGGCGAAAGAGAGTGCCGCCATGGATGCGAAAGGAGGTGGTTAGAGGGATTAGATGCAAGAGGAACCTCCATAGGAAATGGGTACTGGGGGAAATAGACAAAAGGGCACACCAGGAAGAGGAGGCCCGTTGCAGAAGGATTCTTCTCAAGACTGAGGCTGATTACAAGCTGAGACTTGCAATAATATCAACAGCCACAAAAAGGGCTTCTATCACAGCATGTAAATAGCAAGAGGAAGGGGAGGCATGTAGTGGGACTGCTAAATAAGGAGGAAGGGGATTCAATGACCAGGAAAACCAATGGAAAAGCTCATAATAGCAAGAGATCTAGTGATGCTAGATAGGGAAGTGAGGATGGCGGCCACACAACACAGCTTCTGCAAAAACAGGTCCTGCCAGACAAACCTTGAGGAATTCTAGGACAAGGTTTCGAGGTGGCTAGATAGAGGGAATGTGGTGGATGTGGTTTACCTGAATTTCAGCAAGGCCTTTGACAAAGTGCCACTTGATATCCTGGTGGAGAAACTGAGGAGTTTTGGGATAGATTAATGCACTGTCTGATGGATTAGGGCATGGTTGACTGACCAAAAGCAGAGGGTAACCATTAGTGGAGAATCATCTGGTTGGCGGCCAGTGACAAGTGGGGTCCCCCAGGGCTCTGTCCTGGGGCCGATCCTGTTTAATCTTTTCATCAATGACATGGAAGAAGGGGCGAACAGTCTGCTGATCATATTTGCAGACGATACTAAAACCGGGGCATTAGCCACAACTGAGGAGCAGGTACTCCAGATCCAAAAGGATCTGGACAGACTATGGAAGTGGGCAGGAGACAACAGGATGGTGTTCAATGTGGATGAGTGCAACGTCTTGCACTTGGGGCATAGGAATGGGTGTCATAAGTACAGGTTAAGGGACAGGGGGCTGGAAAGCAGCACTTGTGAAAGGGACCTCGGGGTGCTGATTGACTGCAGGCTAAACATGAGTCAGCAGTGTGATGCGGTGATTAATGGGCAAATGCCACCCTTGGTTGCATAGCCAGAAGTGTGGCTTCTAGATCGAGAAAGGTATTACTACCACTCTGTACGACTCTGGTGCCCCCCCAACTGGAGTATTGTGTTCAGTTTTGGGCCCCTCATTACAGGAAGGATATAGCCAGATTCGAGTCAGTGCAGCGTAGGGCCACACGGTTGGTGGCCGGTTTGCATGGGATGGGGTATGAGGCGAGACTGAGGGAACTGAGTCTCTTCAGCCTGGAGAAGAGGAGACTCAGAGGGGATCTGCTGGTGACATACAGGTATGTGAGGGGGTGTCACACGGATGTGGGTAGAGACCTGTTCTCCCCTGCAGAGGAGGGCAGGATGCGCTCCTATGGAGTGAAGCTCAGGAATGCGCCTCCACGGGAGGTGGTTGAGGCCACATTGGTGAGGGTGTTCAAAGATAGGCTAGACATGTTCATGGTGGGCATGTCGTGAGTGGAGCCGGCTGGAGTCGACGGTCAGACTAAATGGCCCAGGAGGCCTCCTTCTGATTTGCTCTTTTTCTATGTTTCTATTGTTTTCCCACTCTGCCCACCTCCACAAAGACATTTAGACTGGTTGTCTACTGAACTACTTTTGTGGGTTCCCTTATAGTTTGTATGAATATTATATTCTGGTTGGGTTAGCATATGAAATGTAAATTGAGCCTGGCCAGAAGCACTCAGCTATTACAGTTACAGAATCATAGAAGAATTGGAAGAGGCCAGGGGGCCATTGTGTCGAACCACTTGCCCAGTACAGAACAATGAGTTAAACTATCCCTCTCAGATGGCTGTCCAGTTGCATCTTCAATGGTCTAGTGTGGGAAAGCCCATAACCTGCCTAGGTTATTGTACTGCTCTAGAAACTGCTCGATTTCTTCACATCACGACTCAAAGGGATTCTTCCTGCAACACCAGGGAAGAGGAAGGAAGTTACTGCATCACTGCATTCTGCTTCTGCAACAAGCATCCCAGTGGTGCCATGAAACAAACAGTACAGAAAAGAGCGCACTATACATCTCTTGCTTTCAGTGTATGTCATGAGCAGTAAGTGCTGCCATCCAATAGAGCCTTCATGGCCATAGAGCAACATGGGCAGTCGGTATAAGTTCCCTGTATAAATCACACTTTTAAAAGATCAGAATGCTCAGTGTGGCCAGCCATGTCATCTTTCTGATATATGGGATTGGAGTTTTCACTCTACAGCTCTGCTTGTAGCATAAGTCATCTTTCTGAAACAAAACTAGTGATGAAGACACAGTCACCTTTCCTTAATGGATAATTTATTTTGAAGCATATCAGTAGCTGTTACAGTGAATTTGGTGTTTATTATTATTATTAATTTTTCATGTACTGCCCAATAATTGTTAAAATTGTAAAAGTGGAGTAGTTTAATGGGTAAATCCATCCCCATCAGACCTTGATTTTATAATACAGAGTCAGTCCTATTGAATTCAGTGGAATTTGCGTTTAAGTAAAAGATTTAGTATTACAGGTAGCGCAATGATCACACACATTTCCTCTCCAGCAGCTTGTTTACAAAAAGGAACCCTAGTGCATCTCAGAATTCATTTTATCTTGAAATATATACAGATTGTTTGTGGCTGCAATAGCAATGATGTTCTCTGTTGGGTGCCATGCTGTGTGCAAGATCTTCTTTGTGAAATCCAGACTGTCAACACTTATGTCATCTCTCCTTCTTTTGCCTCCAATACACACTCTGCGAGGTTTGAGAATTGCTCGTGGCTTGCTACTTTCTCGGGAGGCCTCTAAAGTTACATCACGCTTTGTATTCCGGTCAAACATTCGAAAGAAGTTGTTATACGCCCCTGTCATAATGACACTGCAGATGAAGAAAAACAGGATGAATGTTACGTTGCTAAGTGCACTGGAAAATCTACCTGCATAATTCCCATTTATTTCAGTGAGAGTTGGCAAGAAAACACAGCCATGCTTTATTTTAAAATTATATGTAGTTTGATTTTTAAGAATGGAGTACTCTAATATCAATGGATCTTGCATTTGGCAGGATATTCCAGAATAATTATACCAGATAATATGCATAAGCAGAAAATATGAGTCAGTCGGGTGTGCAACATACTGACTCTTTTTAGGGTAGAATGTTTACCTCCATCTCCCTTAAGGCTGAGAAGAAAAAGCAGGAAACTGGAGTCAATCAAAAAAGGCTAGAGAAGGGAAGATAACCATTTTGAATAAGACTTTCCCCACTGGACTAGACTGTCTCATGTCTGATCTTTGAAATTTTTAGTACAGTATTGGAGAAGACTCTAAGGAATAGGACAAGATACAAGATGCCAGAGTTATTAAGGGCCCTAAATTTTGCCTGCAAGGACATAAGGTCAAAGAAGGGGTTTTGTGATGCTGAAGCGGACATATAGTGTTACACAAAGTTAGAGGGTCAAATCCAGTGACAGTGAGGATTCAGCTATAGGAGAAGTTCCCATACACTTATAGTGGTATATTCCTACGGCATAGCATTCAGCTGCTGGGCGGGGGTGGGAAGTTGCTGTGGTGATACTTCAAAGGGCATTGGTGAATGTAATGCTATCCACAGGTTTAGCAAGAGACTGGCGTTCCTAGGAATCTTTTTTCTCCTCCTGTCTTGATGGCTGTGCACTGAGGGATTTGAGGGGCATTTGTGGGGATGTGACAGTCAGGCAACTATGCATATAATGAATTCCCAGATCTCCAGGTCATCCAGTTCTGGACACTGATGTGTGCTTTTCTACTTCAGGGCATTAATAACTTGTGCATAGTTTGCCATGTTCACAGCTGAAGTTTTGTTTGATTTTCAGGTTAAGATACATTGTGCCACTGCCCCTTGTAGAGCAGGACAGAATGCCAGTAACACTTTGCATTTGGAGGCTTAGGGAATCATTATTGCAGCATGGACACTTAACACTTGGGCTAGCTACTGTAGATCATAGAATAGTAAATCAGCAAACTCTACAGTTAATTGAAATTTTCTAGATTTCATCTGAAGCTATTACTTGAGTCTGTATTAGAACGTTGGTATTTCTTTTCTCATGAAAATCTGTGTCTAGTTTCATGTGCCTCCAGACTTCTGGGTGCTACTTTTAAATACAGTGGTGCCTTGGCTCACAAACTTAATCCATTCCAGGACTCTGGTTGTGACCCAAACTGGTCGTGAGCCAAGTTAAATTTCCCCATGAGGTTCAATGCAAATAAGGTTAATCTGTTCTGTAACTTTTTTTTTAATCAGAAAAATGTGAAGCAAAGTGACAGAGAACGACAAACATTGTGGCCATCTCCCCCCCCCCCAGCGCGACTGAGATTGCGCCTGTCATCCCTGCAGGCGCCTGTCATCCCAGCATGCTGGGGGGTGGGGGAGAGATGGGGCACAATCGTGGGCTCACTGGGGGGGGGGAGAGACAGGCACAAATGGGGCGCACTGGGGAGGGAAAGACGGGTGCGGTCTCGGCCATCTCCCCCCCTCATCCCCAGCGGGATCATGGCCATCTCCTCACTCGGGGGTGGGGAGATGGACGAGATTGCACCCATCTTTCCTGCAGGAGCACGCCCGTGATCACGCACATCTTCCCTGCATGTGATTGTGGCCATCTCCCCACTCGGAGGGGGGGGGGGAGATGGCTGCAATCTTGGTCACCACCCAATACAGAGTTTGTGACCCACGTCAAAATTTTCATGAAATGTTTGTTCGCGACCCAATTTGGTCGTGAAGCAAGGTGTTCGTGAGCTGAGGTACCACTGTACTAGATCAATGCAGACCTCTTTCAGCCATGATTAACTAGTAGATGAGGCAGCTGATCTGGCATGTGTAATTGAGACTTGGGTGGGTAAACAGGGAGGAGTTAGCCTCTCCCAGTTGGGACTGGGTTACTTGGTTCAGCATTAGAGTAGATTTCAAGGCCAGGAGGTAGAGTTGACATGATCTATTAGAATTCAATCTCTCCAGGAGCCCTGTTAAGAATGTTTGCATCTGGTTTGGAGCAAGCAGAACAGATTAAGGATTCTGCTGGTGTACTACCCACCCAGCAACCCATCAGTTTTTCTACCTGAACTGACAGAAGTGTTCTTGTATAAGGTTTTCAGCTCCTCCAGGCTGTTAGTTCTGAGGATTTCAAGGTTCATGTTGATGACATCTTGTCTGAGGCAGCTCAGGATTTCATGGCCTCCCTGACAACCTTGAGACTATTCCAACATGGCATTGGCCCAACACATGTAGCAGGACACACTCTAGACATTTTTTGTGGGGCAGATCTAGACATGAGAATGGTATTCTGAGTGTCAAGGGTGTGGAACCTATTAAAATGGTTTGCCCTGGACATGAATGGATTTGGACAATTTCTGGAGTAGTTATGGTGTTAGGGAACAGTTATGGCTGATATGACTAGCATTCCTGTCAAAGTCCTAGCTGAATTCTGGAACACACAGATGGCCCACATGGTTAACAAACTGCTGTAGAACATCTGCAGCTCCATGGTATACCCCATAGCTGAGAACAATGAAACAATACCAGTTTGAATGTAGATAAAGGAAAACCCCTAGTCAATGTGATCAAACCTGGTGTGTGCCTACAATCAGGCATTCTTACTGGCAGTGGAGATGGTAAAGAAACAACATTTCACTACATCCACTTGTATCTGCTGCCCACCAGAGCTGTTTAGGGTGTCTGGTGTCTATTCCAAGAATATCTTAGACCCATCTGAGGCACTTGCTGGGCACTTACAGGAAAAAAAATCCCTTGCATCCAACAGGACTTAGGCGTAAGAGTTAAAGTAATTGAATTGGATGATGTACCCAGAGCACAATCTAGTCTAGTTTTATTGAACAAATTTCACTTGGTGCACTTGAGGATGTTGACAACATGCCTGGAAAGGTATGTGCAACCAGCTCTTTACAGGAAACTTGCCCCTCCTGGTTTATAAAAGCCAGCAGGGAAGGAACAACTGACTAGGCCAGTGGGGTAATTACTGCCTCCTTATGAGGAGCAGTGGTCCCCAGTTTCCTGAAATAGACAGCAGTGAGACTGCTCCTGAAGAAATTCTCAATCGGCCTGGAAAACCTTAATAGCTTTAGGCACATATGTTCCTTTTGTGGGCAAAGTTTTTGAGCAGATGGTTGCCAACCAACTCCGAGCGCTTGATGGATAGATTACCTGAATAAATTTCAACTGGGGGCTTGGTCCAGGTTTTGGCATGGAAAAAACTTTGATCACCCTGTATGATCTATGGGATAGGCACTGGGTCCAGACAACACAACAAGCCATGGCAATTTTTTCCCATTATCTGTCTACTGTGTTGTCTGAACTCAGTTGTGATATTTCACAATGGTAAGTTTGGTCTTTGCAAACCATAATAAGAAACAACAGTTTGTTCTATGTTATTTATTTATTTAGGTACCACCATAGCTTGACATGTTGTCTGAACCCAGGATTATGGTCTCCGTGATCTTGCTTCAGCCACCCAGCCTTTATGTGTGAAGTAAAGAGGGAGAATTAGGTGACATAGGCAGGGAAAGATGCACCCTGGGACTGAATTTCAGGCACAGTGGCTGATGGGATATCTTCCAACAGTAGGAGGACTGAGTGGAGCAGGTGGAAACCATGATGACATAGAAAACACTTGATTGTCTCTTAGATAGATCATGGTAAAAAAACACACACACAATGAACCAGGCTAACCATACAGGGTTATTTGTCATGTTTTGTGAATGCAGCCAGAGGGAGTACAGTCCTGTTGATACTCATAGATCTCTCAGCAGCTCCTTCTGGGGCAGTCCTCTGAGTTGGTAATGGGGGTACTGTTTTGCAGTGGTTTCTGCCATTACTTGGAGGGTCAGCACCATAACATGATGCTTGGGGAATATCATTCAACCCCTTGGATTCGCTAGTATGACTGGTCCCCCCATGAACTGCTGAGTGCATTCGGCTGGCATTTAGAGTATGTTGCCACAGCTCAATTTTTCCTTTTCATCATCATCAAGTGAGACTGGATGTCCTAAACTGGTGCCAAGCTGTGGCAATGGACTGGATGAGGGATAACAAATGGAAGTTCTATCCATCTAAAACTGAGATGTTGTTAATGGGTAGTCCCCCTGATCAGATGGAAGGTTTTCAAACTGTTCTGGAGTTGCAGCCCCTTTAGGAAGGAGGTTGATAGCTTGGGGTTCTTCTTGTTCTATCTTTCTCATTTTAGGCTCAGGTGGCCTCAGTAGCACAGCGTGCCTTCCACCATCTCTGACCAGTGGCCCAGCCATGCTTTTACCTGGACATGGATAGCCCAGTTTCAGTAATCTATGCTCCAGTAATCTCTAAATTAGATTACTGCAAAGTACTCTACATGGGACTATCCTTGAACACTGTTCAGATGCTGCAGCTTGAGGAAAATGCGGTAGGCAGCTAGGATTCATAGGTCTGAATATAAGATCAGTTCTGGTCTGCTTACATTGACTGCCTGTATGCCTCAAGGTATGATCTTAACCTTGTCTATAAAGTCTTGGGATGACAAGATTTGATGTAGTGCTTCTAACAATCTATTTCAATGCTACACTCAATATTCTTTCAATATTTCCAGAGGCAGCTTGGAAAGCAGCAAGCAGGGATAGCTTTCTCAGTGGTGTTGCTCCCATCTATGGAATGACATCCTCACTGAAGCCCACCTGATGCCAGTTTAAATCAGCTTTATCTTTTCGCATTGGTTTAAATCAGTCCTTTATGTCAAGGCTTTTAGAGCTATATATAGATATTCCAGGACTTTCAGTCCTTTTCCTTGCCAGGTGTTTTACAGAACTATTCTTCATCATATGTTGTTTTCACTGTTTTTAATTTTGGAAAGATTTTGTGGTATTTTATTGTGTCGTTTTTATGAAAATGAAAAGTTATAAGCTGCCCAGAGAACTTCAGCCTGGCACTTCCAGTCAGGGTAGAATCACTCTTGACAGATTGGGAGTGGGTTGATTCTTGCTCTTATGTCTTAGGCTGGGTGGCAGACTACATTGAAAGTTAGGTGGCTAACTTGGTCAAGTTAATAAATCTATGCCAAATAATCAGAATTCATGTCTCCTGTCTTCATTCTTGGACTTTTAGAGGGACATTGTGGTATACCCCTACACCATAGGAGGTCATCACATTCAAACCTCAGTGAAGAGTTTCTGTCTAGTGTTTCAGTCCCACCTGCAATATTAAAGGTTTAGAGCTTGAGCCTACCAGAAAGCAAAGCAATGCAATCCAATGCAAAGCAAAAACCACCAATGGACAATTCAGCCTAGTTCTAGTATATAAGATAATCTTTTCTTCTTGTTTAAAGAAAGGGGAGAGGGGTATTTGCCCAGGTAAGCATTTGAAGATTGGATCTTATTTTACTGTGTTCTCCTGCATTCTAATTTTTCCCCTGATATATCTTGCTTGGATGTCCTTCTATGAAGCAGAGCTAGTATTAAATGCCTCCCAAAAATCTGTGAGGCAGGGAACATTTCTAGGACATTCAGAAAGAGTTGTCCACAAGTACCGTATTTTTTCATCTATAAGACGCCCCCATAGATAGGATGTCCCCCACTTTTCGTACTGATCTCTGAGGGAGCAAGCTGCTGCCCCGCGCACGTGCACACACTGCCTTGCCACTCCTCCTGCACATGTGCAGGCGATCACGCCAGTCCACCCCCCCCCCCCGCACAAGAGCACCCGCGGTTCTGCTCTCGGCCCCCTGTGTATAAGATGCCCCTCCATTTTTAGGTAAATATTTTAAAGAAAAAGTATTGTCTTATACACGGAAAAATACTGTAATTTTTGAATAAGTATCATGACAGTGCAGCAAAGTATAGTTGACTGTGACTCCCTTTGTTCTAGCTTTAATAATTTCTGTAGACTTCATTAGGAGTAGGGGGCAGCATATAAATAAAGAAATAGATAAAAATAGGTTTATTGTACTTTTGGTATAACCAAGGACAAATGTGTCCAGTCATAACTGGCTCAATACTCCCTCATTTCTGAGAGAACTATAGTAGTCCATTGAGTATGAGCCAATGTATTTCATACAACTGAGTTTATTTAAACAGTAGCATGGCGTGACAATCAGCATAATGCCAGGAAGTTTAATTCTTTCCTCACACGGGGCCCAAGCCATGAGCTCACTAGTTGGCATAGGAAAGCCACTATCAATCACCAGCAGCACCCAGTCATAATAGGGAGACAAAATGCTGACCTAACTTGATTGCTTTGCAAGAATTACTGGAAAAATGTCTGACATATATTGAACACTCTTCTTAGCAGCTGGCTTAAGATACATAAGTATAATTTATCACAATGTATTTCTGATGCATAGGAAAGCAACAAAGAATAATTTTGTAAAACATGTCTTGATACTGACATGCAGGAATCATTTATAAGAGGGATATGATTTTTTGATTGTCATCATGATTGTTGCATAGCTAAATTGAGAAGTGACAGGTGGATTTTATGTATTACCTATCAGATCCATTCCATGAGCATTCAAACTTGTCAAATATGCAGTCATTTTCATAAAGGGAACACAGCTTGCTTCTAAGGTAGTCGTGAACCTATTTGGTGAGCAAAAGAGAACTTTGTTATTCCAAATTGAGAGTATCAATGTCAACAGGTCTTGATTGAAGTAATTTGCCACCACTTTGTCAAATTTCCTGTACACAAGCATTCCTAGCATCATTATTGTCATTATTATTTTACAAGTCACCTAATAGATGAAGCTCTCAGGTCAATATACAAAACAAAAAGAAACTAAACAAATACAACAGTGAGCCAGTGCGGCACAGTGGTTAGAGTGTTGGAATGGGAACATGGAAAACTTGGATTTTAGTCCCTCTTTGGCCATGAAGCTCACTGGGTGACTCTGGGACAGTCATTCATGAATCCAAGATTCAAAAATGCATTTTAGATAGACAGGTAAATAGATTACTCATAACTATACGATACATTTTTAAAATGCTACAAATACTATACTATGTTTCTGGAGTTTTAAAATTGCATAAGCAGTCTTTTGATGTCACATATATACAGTGTTGCAACTAGTTTGTATTTCAGGCTCTGCACATTGACAATGCCCTTTCCCAGACTCATTTTGACCTTGATGGTGATTTTTTTGGGGGGAGGGGTGGCTGGTGGGCAGGTGCCTCCTTTCTGAGGTGCATTATTCTCAAGATCTTGTAGAAACAGAAGTAGTGGATTTGGCTGGGATGCAAAGAAGGGGGTCAGACCCATCATGTGTTTGAAAATCTAAATAGCTGAAGTGCTTGGCATATTGGGAAAGTTTGAGGTTCTTGGATAATGAACTTAAGGGTTAGCACTTGAGAGTTCGCATCTTGGTTGGTGAAAAATGAATAAAAGAATGCAGCTGGTGTTGAAGAAATTCCTAAGAATTTGGGAAAAAACAACCCTGAGTGATCTTTGAATCCAGGGACTACAAACTGGTTATTAAAATGTCAGGACTGAATGTTCAGATAAGAACAAAGAAACTTTAAGCATAGAAGAATTCTTGCTTCATGTGAAGGTCAGATTGAGAATGACATAACCAGGCCTGAGAAAAACCATCTTTTCTAGAAATCAACATGTGTGCATCATTGAAATGTAGCTAACATTAATCAGAGAAAGCTAGTTGGCACTTGACAGATAACAGCAGCTCAAGCAAAGGGCGATTTACACCATTCTTCAGAGAATCTTTGGCATGCAAGTGGGAAAGATCACACCATTGCAACTTTTCCCTTCTGTAATCTATGGGAAAGTGTTAACTGTGTTACATGTAACCTTTTAATGATCAATGTGTAAAAGGGCCAACTGAGGACTGCTCAGGTGTGGCATTTGGAACGATTTGTTGGTAGTAGGTTATTTTTGAGAATAAATTCTTTAAAAGAAAACATTTCCCTGTTATGTATTTTGGGCATACACACATCAGGACATGGACCATTTGGTCAACAATGGTCTTCACCAGTGGGAAACAATATATATTGAACCAAATAACAGCCTTATTGTCACATAATTAGAAATATCCTATACATTATCTCATAAATCAAAAATATTCAAACCTGAAGTTATCCTGCATACTGTGACTTAATTAAAAACTTTAAATTATTAGTAAATATATTTATCAGCAGTCGTTAAACTACTTAGGTTTATATTTTCTTCCATACATGATGTATATCTAAATGTAACTGGATGAGGGGGTATAAATACTTCCTTCCATACCTAAAATATTAACAAATCAAGGGCACATGAAGAACAATGTTTTAACTGACTGCTTGGCAGTAAATATATTTATATTTCTCTATCTCCTTGACACCCAAGGAAACACCCACTGGCTAAAACTATTTAGATTTCTTAACCAAAATGATAAACTTGTTCTATCCACCTTGGATAAGCACAATAGCTGCAAACTCTTTTTCCTTTTTAAAGGTAGTATATATTAGCACTGCAGCCAGTTTCTCCATGATGCCTACAGGATATTTCTAATTTTGATGCTTGTAGGAGATGGATTACTCCTGCATAGATCACTGCCTTGTCGTGACGAAGGGGCTTGCGTAGCTCAATGAAGCTATGAGCTATGCTGTGCAGGGCCACCCAAGACAGACAGGTCATAGCAGAGAGCTCTGACAAAAGCTGATCCACTGGAGAAGGAAATGGCAACCCACTCCAGTATCTTTGCCGGGAAAACCCCATGGACAGTACCAAAAGGCAAAAAGATATGACACCGGAAGATGAGCCCCTCAGGTCGGAAGGTGTCCAATGTGCTACTGGGGAAGAGCAGAGGGCTAGAACTAGTAGCGCCAGAAAGAATGAAGCAACTGGGTAAAAGCCGAAAGGACACTCAGTTGCAGATGTATCTGGTGGTGAAAGGAGAGTTCGATGCTGTAAAGTTCTATATTCCATAGGAACCTGGAATGTAAGATCCATGAATCAAGGCAAGCTGGATGTGGTCAAACAAGAGATGACAAGACTGAACATCGACATCTTAGGAATCAGTGAACTAAAATGGACAGGAATGGGTGAATTTAATTCAGATGACCATCAAGTATACTACTGCAGGCAAGAATCCCTCAGAAGAAATGGAGTAGCCTTCCTACTCTTTTATTGACTATGAAGGCTACTCCATTTCTTCTGAG